AATAATATGACACCGTTGACCTGCGCACGCCCATTATTTCCTTCTAATGCAGGTGTACAGACAGCCTCCACGATACTCACCCGTTGCGTTGCTGGAGCGTTAGTGGGGTCAGGTTTCCTACGCACAACCTCCATTTGATCCATATCACTTTCACGCGGGAGGAAAAAAATATATGTGCCAATGAAGAGCATGATCAGTGCGAACATCATCACTGACGTGCGCTTTCGTCCCACTCTATTTGACATGCCTTACTGCCCACAACTCCCTCTTTTATTTGGTCTCTAAGAATAACAAGAAAATGAAAGAGGAAGAAAGAGGTTTTTTTTTTTTTTTTTTTTGCTGTGGTAGAAGCGGTTATGGTTATTTTAATGTGCATTTTTGTTTAACAATGTTTATGTTTATATGGTTTAAGATCTTGTTTCTTTTTTCATACTGTCATAGAATAAAATACTATGCGCCCAACCGCAGTAATCTCCAAAAAGATACTGAAATCCAGCTTGTATAGCATCGTGGTGTTTTGGGGAGAGAGGGTAAAACTTGTAATTTTTACTGATTCCTCTCTGGTGCCACTCTGAAATCACAGTCTCCCACGACATGACGGCATCACTTTCCTTTTCACCTTTTAAATTTTCTTTAAATCGAGATCTCTTTCTACTAGGGTATTGTGTCGTGTTATTGTTTCCAATATTATGTTTTTCTGCTTTCATTAAGTACTTTGCCGCGATCTGTGCAATGTGCGTGTCTACAGGAACCAGCTCGTGATGACCTAGTCCAAATAAAAGAATACAATCTGAAACTTTACGCCCTATCCCTGGAAGAGAAAGTAGTTTTTCTCGTCGCTCATACAAGGTAATAACGGGATTAAGTAAATCATCATACCATTTATATGAATGAACAAGAGAATCACTCCGAACAGATCTTTCATTATTAAGCCATTCAGTTTCCCCACTGGCCTTAATGATAGATGCACACTCAATTATGTACTTACTTCGATATCCAAATCCAAGAATACGTAACTCATCTTCTGAACTCTTAAGTATTTGAGCAATAGTAGGAAGACAATGTAGAGAAATCCATTCTCCTATTAGTTCATTACCCTTTTTCTCTTTTTTCGTTTTCATATTTTTAAGTTTTTTATTTGCATTGGTGTTGCGTACATCCCCTGTTAAGAGGTTATATTCGCACAAATGTTCTCCATAGGATAGAGCAAATTTTTCCAGAAGAGCTTTAATACGTTTTACATTGTTATTCTGCGAACAAAGAAAAGCAAAGAGGGTTTCATGAATATCCTGTCGTAAATGACGAATATTGAGCGGAAGGTCTTTATTGAAACGTGAGATAAGGTGAGATACCAGTGGATGATCACGCATAGAATTCTCAACTGTCCATTCTCTCCATAATTTTTCCAAGTCAACGTCTAATGCCAGATAATGTTGTAAAAATTTTTTTTCACGCGATATATCAGATTCATTTTTTAGTTCATGACTGAGACAACGGAACCAAATAGTTTCCTTCAAGTTTTCATGAGCAAATGAAGATGAGTTTGCTATTATTTCACTGTCTTCACCGATTTTATGGGATCTATTTATGACAGGCGGGTGTGAGGAAATACATAGCTCATAGGCAGCACACTGTATAACACCAACCCAAGTGTCTCTCTTTGTCCTGCGCCATCGGAAACACTGCCCCCCGCACAAAGTCATTGGAAGATGCACCGCTGCTGCGGGTGATAACGTATACCAATGGTGCATCTAGCCTTTTTGAAGAAGTAAAAGAGGGAAGTGAAATAGCAGGAAAAAAAAAAAAAAACAAAAAAAATTTTTTTTATAATTGTTTCTCCTGAGTTTTCCCAGTGATAGTATATATAGAAGTCTATCTAGTGCCTTATCCATATTCTTTTCCTTGTCACATAGCGAAATGGCAAAGAAGAAGGAGAACAATAGAAAAAAGAAGGAAAAAAAAGGACAATGATGATTATGCTTTTCACAACACGCATTGATTTCCTTTTTCTTCTTCTTTTCCTCCCTTCTACATATATATATATATATATGTCCCTCTGGTTGTTTCCTAATACACCTCGACTTGTTCTATGATGGAAAGAACGCGCTCTGCCAGTGCCCGCGTGGTGCTGTCCTCGTGAATGTGAGCGACGGATTGAAGAACGGCGACGGCGCTGGCGGTCGCAGCGGCGGTGAATGCCGTCGGCGCAGCGGCGAGAAGAGCGGCGAGAAGTTTGATGCCCACCGCCTGCAGTCGCGGGAGACTTGCGTAACGTGCACTGCCAACTGCGAAGCCGACGAGGGCATCGCGGTCTGTGGGGTCCATACACAGAATAGCAGCTCCCACTCCCGTTCCTTCTTCCACTGTTGGTAGTGATGTGGTGGTGGGATCTGAATGGGATAGACCACGTGAGGACATGACAGCAAGAAAGAGTACATGACAGCATTCTGCCGCTATTTGGCCAATATCACTCTTATTGAGATGAGAAGCAACGGCACAAGATGCATTGGCGAGTTCTATTAACAGAGGCATGTACACTGTAAACCACTGAGATAGTAATTCTTTACTCAATGGATGGGTACGAATAATACCAAGAGCACATTGTTGTACATGTATTGCAAACTCAAATCGTCCAAGTAAATTAGCAGAGTTATTACTTGCAGGAGATTTAGATACTTCCTCCCGACCTTCTTTTAATTCTTTAATCTGTTCACGATATAATGTAGCTAGTTGAGAAAATGGAAGCATTACAGGTGCCACTACAGCATCATTAAATACCTTTCGCCGTAGGGCTACAATTGTAATAAACCCCATACATTCTACAGCTGCTCGACTTAAACGTTGTGCATCCGCATCAACACTTTCATCATGTGTTTCTCCACCTTCATCATTTAATAACCATGGTAGTACATCTTCTTCAGTCCATCGAAGAGCCATGATGGATCCATTTAAAAGATCTAAGAATTCATTTACAGATTCTTTCTCATCTGATAATACAGTATCATCATTATTTACTTCTTCTTTGGCTAATACATACTTGTTTTGTGATAATAGTGTTCCAATACAGAAAAATCCGACGCGACGCAAAAAACGAACATTACAGGATATATTTTCTACTTTTATATTCGTACCCTTTAAATATTCTTCTTCAAGATATTTTAACTTTTGGAATACCATTGAAGCACTATACTTACATACAAGCTCAAGTAGCAAACGTTGAATATCAAGAGGAAGTCTTTCACGATATTTAATAGAGAGAAGAATTCTCCAGAGAATATCCCATACTATTATCATAGCTGATTTTAACTCTTCTAGTTTTGGTGATAGAAAAGTACTACGTGGGCAACTTCGAAGGCAAAGCAGTGGTGCCACTGCTTGATACATTATCTGAGTGGTGTCTTGTGAAGTCGTAGTTTGAGGACTATTGTTTTCAAGAAAAAGTTTGTCTAGCCATATATCTAATTGTGGTATGCCTTTTTCTCTATTGTTTTCATCATCATCATCATCATTTTCTTTTTCTTCTTTTTCTTCTTCTTCCTCCTCTATATGGGTATCTAGTTTCATAACATGTATACAACTTGATAAGAGTGTCAATGCCCCATCCTCTGTTGTACCACAAATAGATGCTATTTGTCCAATTATACGGATAAGAATTTCTTGTTCTAATGGTAGATGAGCTTCCATAATACGTTTAACAATAGGAGTGATATGAGTTTCTGTCCATTTAGGTACAATTTCTGCCCAACGACGTACCAATAACATAATGAGTCGTAAGAGTCGGTCACGTTGATTACCTGTAGTTTCTGATTTAGATGTATTAGAATCCATATATGTTTCATTATCATTATTTACTCCACAGGAATGTAATTTGGAGAAAGCTAATATATCAGCAGGTGTGGATGGGGTAGCACAAATAGATGACATACTTTCTCCTAATAAAGATAAAGATTGTTGTACTAATATAAGCACAATAGTAGCATCATTTTTATGAGCTTCTACAACAGAAAGTAATGCTTGCTGCGCCGCGGATTGTTTCTTAACAGTTTTATCTCGCTGAGTCGCAAGATGAAGTAATGGACGACAAATATCTTCTGGCCACACTTTCGCAAAAAGTTTTGAACTTTGCAATCGCACCAGTAACTCTTCATCCTGAATTCGAAGTAACAATTCTTCTGCCATGAGACGTAAAACAGGACGCATTTGTTCACAAGTAAAGGTTTCTCCATAAGCCGCATCTTCACTTAGTTGGGGAAGTGCTGAGAGTACATCTAATACATTTCGCCTTGTTCCTATATCTCCATGTTGAAGACGACGAAAGAGTGCGGGTAAAATAACATGTGGACGTTCCACTGCAGCCCGCATTAACATACCGGTAACACACTGAGAAGCCGCATCACGACCATCTGTAAGAAGTTCTAAGAGTTGATCGGAAGAATCTGCAATTGTACGAACAGCAGCAGAAGAAGAAGAACTGTATAATATTAAACGTGATAATAATGCCCCTAATTTCTGTACATTTTCATCCTTATAACGAAGTGCACGATTAATAATAATATGATGAATTTCTTGTGTTAAGTTCACATCAGATGACCAGATGATTCCTTGCATCATTGAAATAGGAGAAGCAACTAGAGATGCAAAAGCCGCTGCGAGTAATGCTGTACTTGCAAAGAACACATCAGACTCTTTTTCTTTTTCCTCCAATATAGGTACAGATGACATAAAAGATGCGATAAAAGCTAGAATCTTTTTATCACCTTTATGTATTTCTGTATGATCACTTCTACCATGAATATGGATCCACGCACTTGTGATCGTACGAGATAGAAAACATAATCGAAGAGTATTTACCCATATCATATTACTTATTTCATTATAATCTTTAGCATTTTTACCAAATTGCTGTTCCACTCTTTTCTGAGAACACTCAAGCGTTTCTTGTTGTTTTAATAAATTTGCAAAAATAGCATCAAAAGAGGTTTTAACTATTTCAAATGATTCATTCACAGCTTGTATCTCCCTATTTACAGTAGTAGTAGTAGTAGTAATATTATTATTATTATTATTATTATTATTATTATTATTATAAGAAGAATTCACTAAAAAAGGTATATGCCAAATACTTTCCTGTTGAATCCAATGAAGGGATCGACGTAAGGCTCTACTAAGAATAGAAATAGATGACCACATTCGTATAGGGACATCTCGATCCAATACAATACAACGATTTTCTGTTTGATTATTATTTCCACCTTGATGGACATCTAATATATCAAGTGTAATATTATAAAATATATCTATAATGGTATTATTCGCTTCAACCGTTAATCGAGAAGGTGATTGAAATATATTCTGTTTTATTACAGAACTTTCATTATTATGAATCTCTCCTTTATTTGATGGCGTTACTGATATCATATTCTCTTTTGTATCTGCAATAATGGCTATATAAGGTATTATATCCTCTAAAATAGATTGTGTAAACTCTGGGAAATGACTAGTAAGTCTTTTACCCGTTACACATCCCTGAGCCACTGCACTTACAGTTCCAGCAAGTATAAGTATATATCCAAGTGATAATCGATGGTGAATACTCATTTGCTGTCGTAAAAACATTTTATTACTAACTGCAGATAAAGCCTCTATCCATGCATGTGTACAACAAGGACGTTCATTCCCTTCTCCATAGGCAGTCGCATCATCACATAAGAGTCGTGTGGATATATACACCACCGTACGCAAATTGGCATAAGAAGAGAGAGCAGATACACACATCCGAGAGAGTACGGCAACACCACCAGGAACTGTAGTGGGCGTTGAAGAAACAAGAGAGGTGGTTTTTGTAGATTCATCCACTACTTGAGATGATGTTAATATTAAACTTGGAAATGGTAGAGAAGTACGATTCACTGCATAGCTTACACCACGTAAAGCTTGAGAGAGATGATAATCATGCAATTGTTCATCACTACAAACACCGGCGCGAAGTAGACGATGAAGTGCCGTCTCATACGGTTGGACATCCAAAAGTTCCATAGTATACAGCTCTCTAATAATATATATATATATATAGACGTTTATAGAAGAAAAGAATAATAATAATAATAATAAAAAAGAATCAATAATGAAAATAATAATAATAATAATAATAATAAAACATCTCCTTTAGTTTAGATAATCATTTGGAAGGTGTAGGTACATTTTTTTTTTTTTTTTGAAGTAATTATATCCGTGTGTCTCTTTGCAGATTTCTACTCTGGTCGTAATACACATAAACAATAATAATAATAATAATAATAATAATAATAATAATAATAATAATAATAATAATAAAAGAAAAGATAGGAAAATACAAGAGCAGGCAAACAATTGTAAACGTACGCAGAAATAGAGATTAATAATAAACAAAAAAAAAAGAGGAGATATTCGCAGGAGATCAAAATGTATTACATCACGCCATGGTGGTAAACTGGAACAATCTACATATAAGGAATACAACCAAATAAGAAACAAGATAATAAAGGAAACCACACAAAGAAAAACAAAAAAAAAAATTAGAATATACTCAATGACACAAACTACTTACTTAGTGCTACATAATTGCCAACGGTAATAATAATAATAATAATAATAATAATAATAATAATAATTTTTTCTTTTTGATTCGTATTAAATAGTCCATATGAACTTTCCAAACAGTTTACTTCCTTCTTATTGTTTTTCACTTTCATTTTGAAATCAAATATTACTTTCACTATCTGTGAGAGAGAAAGAAGCAAAAAAAAAAAAAATACAACACTTACATGGTTTCCATGTGTGTAAATAAATTCACATACTCAGTGAAGAACAATACAAAATAACTCAAAGAATTTTTTTTTTCTTCTTTCTTTTTTGTTTTTTTACGCTGAAGGATTTATACAGTGACACTGTGTCTGTGCAGAGTGAGATGTACAGTCAGAGACACATCCATATAAATCAAAGGGAGAGAAGGAGAGGGAAAGAAGGAGAAAGGAATAAATTAACTAAATAAACTACAAAAAAAATCCGATAAACAAAAAAGAAGAACTGGATGGACCAGGGGGGACTTAATTCCTTCTTTACTTCTGACATGTAATAATAGTTCTGTTACAAGAATTCCATCTATCTATAGCACAACAACCAAAAAATAAATAAATTAATAATCCGTATATATATATATATATACAGATAAATACCATTACGGAAAACATCATCAGCGTCATCGCTCTCCTCTCTAATCCCAAAAACAGGATGACTTGTGTGTAAAGAGATAGAAAAAAAAAAAATAGAGAAGCAAAGAAACAAATAAAAGAGAAAAAAAAAAAGAAAAAAAAAACCAATTTCTTATAACTATATATATAAAAAGTACTATTTGCACCTACCCCATGGGTATTTTATCTCGCTCCATAGAAGCCATATCTAGTGGGCGCTGATTTTGAAATAGCGTCGCATCCATTTTTACAAGTTGATTAAAGAATCCGTTATTCGGATAAATAGCCGGCCGCCCACGCCGAGTGACACAGTACGCCTCATCCAATCGCATGTGTTGATGCAACATGAGATACGCAATCACAGTTGTTGCGGATCGCGACATACCAGCAAAACAGTGTACAAGACAACCCTCACCTCTTTGCAGACTCTCATCTATAAAAAGAGAAGCTTCCTCAAATGTCGTTCGAATATCTGCACCTTCAATATCATCTACATTAATGGTTAAATGACGACCACCAACAGGTGGGACAGGCATAAGATCTCGACCTACTGTTAATAAATTCTTGATGGAAAGTTTATTATATACCACCTGCGATTGAGCCGTTCGAAGACTACCACAATAAAGATTTTCAACAATACGATCAGGGTAAATTTTATTCCACATCATATTAACATTTGGTATTTTTTTATCTAACTTCTCCCTTATATAGGTTTCATACACAGTAGGTTCATTATCAAGGGCAAGTTTAAGTGTTGGAAAACATGCCAAAGCATCAGGATCTGGAAATTGAACAATACGAGGATTTTCTGCCATGTAAATAACAGAGAGTAATGGTATTTTGGTACCAGAAGTTACCAAATCTGTTAAACAAGTTGGAATTTCAGAAAAATCATTATAATCCATTGCTATAGTAGTTAATGACACCAAATATACAAATGATGGTGGAAGTTCGCGTAAATGATTATGACTCACATCTAAATGTTCAAGTTCATTTAAATCCGCTAAACTATCCGGAAGTTCTTCCAATTCATTACTGGCAATAATTAAACTTCGAATATGTGGTAGAAAAGATAATTCATGTGGAATACTTTTTAGTTTATTGTAACTAAGATCCACAGATACTACATGTAAGAGAGGAGGATCAAATACTTCTTTTGGTACACTAGTTAAATCAAAACGATATAAAAGAAGTTCGGAAGAACGATTTTTTCTACAATTTTCAATTTCTTCTTCCCATGTACAATCCTCCACTTCTGCTGCTTTTGGTAAAACTTTCTTTTGACATTTTTTCAACATGGGTGTTTTTACTCTCCATGCACTTCGTTCAATAGTTGCCTTTTCCACCTCTGGTAATTCCGTGAGAGCTCCTTTGGGTAAATTCGCTTGTCTTTCTAATTCTTCCAAGGGTTGTGTGATGGCAATACTAGCAGGAGATACCAGAATACACTCTTTCTTCTCATCCTTATTGTGTTCAATCGTGTGAATGAGTAAAGGTCGCATTTTGTGATTTTTCGCATGGACGTCATTCAGTGCACATTTACCACATCGTATATATGCCTCACATGTATTACACATATACACAACAATAGGTAATTCTACATTACACAATCCACATTGTATTTGATCTTCAAAAGAAAAACGAAGGTAGGAATCGGAATCTTTACTTGAAAAGGTAGTACATTCACTATCATTATCATCATCATCATCATCACCCTCAGATTCAAATAAAATAACACTGGTAAGGAAATTACCTTCGAATGTAGGATCTTGACCCAATACATCAATAAGACGAGCTTCATCATGACAGTGAAGATCTTTATGTACAGCATCCTTTAAAGCACTTGGAGGGAGTTGGAATGGTTCAATATCTTTTAAATCAGATCCATCTACAGTGTTTACTAAATAAGGATGATGTAGTAATTGACTTACATCACAATTACACAATAATGCCGTTATAATAAAATCTACAAGAGGTGATGTTAATGTATCACTTGCATTCGTAACACTTTCAATCAATTCATTTACAACCAATAATTTTGTATTTCGCATTAAGAAAGTATCCCAAACTTCATTTAATACAGATGGTAAAGCAGAAGCAGCAAGTAATCCTACACAAAAAATGTCTAAATAATTCTTAGATTCACCATAAGGAGAGATAAGATCTTCCATTATATTTGGAGGTAAATTATATAAAGGAACACCAACTTCTCCACCATGAAGGGCATCTTCATTCGTAAAAAAGAGTGGACCAAAGTCTGCAATAACAAATTTACCGGAATGACAATAAAATATATTGGATGGGGTTAAACCATTGTGAGAAATGTTATTAGCATGAAGTACGTGTAATCCTTTAAGAACATCTACCAGCATACTTTTTACCGTACGCGAGGGATCATCTCGGTTCGTTAAAGGAGGGAAATTTTTATGAAGAAATTCACATTCCACATACTTTTGTGTAGCGAAACAACCATAAGGACCATCCACAATTTCAAGTAAAGGTAATATATTAGGATGAGAAATATCACGAGATAAAGCTAATACCCGATGCATTTTCTCTTCCTCATGTTTTTTAATCTTTTTTAATACCGAATGTCTCATTGCTTTCACAACAAACTCATCTGATGGATTACGACGTAAATGGGCAAGAAAAGTTTCACACACACGACCTTTTCCAAGAGAAACACATATTCTCAATCCATTTCGCAGTTGTGTTCGTATTCCGGGTGATCCTGCTGTACTCATACTAAGTGTTGTGCTTGATAATCCCAAACTCATACCTGTTAAGAGACTATTGCCTAAAATACCACTTCTATTACAAAAACCTGTTCCTAAACGTGTACGAAAGAAAGAATGACATAGTAATCGAGTGATCTTTGGTCGTTTTGCAGGATCACGATTTAAACAGGTTTGAATAATTTCTTTAAAAGAAGATGGAAGCCAATCTGAAGTTGGGAATGTTATTGTTTGATGTAGTACAATATCTCGTACTTCTTCAAATGTTTTTCCTTCAACATCAAAAGGATTACGTCCATAAGCGAGACGATACATCAATATTCCAAATCCCCAAATATCAACTTTTGCAGGATCGTTAAAGGCTTTATCGGTTTCAAATACTTCTGGAGGAAAACATGCAGGTTCTCCATTAAAAACAAGTTGTTCTGGAGTTTGGGCAGCGAATATTCTCCAAAATCCTGCATCTGATATACATGGAGAACCATTTTGGTTAATGAGAATGTTATCAGGTTTTAAGTTGTGGTGATACATATTATGAGAATGAAGAACACGAAGACCTACTCCAATAGAATATAAAGTAGAAATAAATGTCTCTTCATTTACTGATCCTTCGATAGCAGATTCACAAGCTCCTTTTTCTAAATAAGGTGTAACTGTAATAAGATTTTCATGTTTTCCATCTTCTAATATATCTACACAACGAAGAATATTTTCATGATTTAGGCGTGAAAGGGTTTTAATATCCTTAAGCACATCCTCTACTAACTCCATACGGGTAACAAACGTAACGACTTTAAAAACATAATATTGAGAATCGTTACCACGAGTCTTTAAAGAGAGTCCTGTTTTTCTGAGTCCTTTATCACCCTCACCATCTTCCTTACTTATTGAACGGGATACAAGAAAACTACGGCCTATTGTCCCCGTTGGAAGAGCTCCAACGACGCGGTACTTTCCTACAGTTTCTCCCGAAATAAACTCTCCTGTACACAAAACTGCTGCTCGATTGGAAAACAGCAATTCGGGATGGGCAAAGAAGAGACTTGCATATTCAGTACGTGATAGTTCCTCCCAGGCATTCACTAACAATCTAGATGGTTCTCTTCCTGGAGACCTTGTACGTAAAAGCCATGGAAATTGTGGAGGAACATCTTCATGACTTTTCAATTTTTTCCTCTCCTTCACGGATTTAGTTACTTCTTCTACTGGTAATGGTTTCTGCGCGTTGCGGGCCACACAGGTATTGTTATTTCCAATAGAAACACATACACCCATTACGGTTTTCAATTCTTTTTTTTTCTTTTTTTTATTTATTTTATTCTTCTTAAACAAATCCTGTGTTCTTTCTTTTTCTTTACTTTTTTTTTTTTTTACTTTTTTCCTTGATATCTTTTATACTGAGATGGCTTTGATTGTTTTTTTTTTCCCTTTTTTTTTCGGTATTCCCCTTCTTCTTATTCCACTTTTTCTGCGCTTCTTTGGGACACCAGTACTCTGTAATGTAAACAATAAGAAAGATACAAATATGAGAAGAAAAAAAAAAGAAGAAATCAAATTATAAAAGAAAAAAAAAAACCATACATGTAGAGCAGTCAGAGATAAAATAAGAAAGTTAATCGGGTGAAACCTTCTTTTTTTCCTTTGTTTTTTCAACCACTAAAAGCAAAAAAAAAAAAAAAGCATCAAATAAAAACCCTACACTTACGATTAGCACACGGAGTAAAGGGGGGAACAAGAAAAAAATAAAAATAAAAATACATCATCTCATATGTGTTAAGATACACTCTATATATATATATATATATATATATATACGGTAATACTATATCCGGTTGAGCGTTTTTCTCATTTTATAAGTTCCCCACTATTTTATCTGATTTCTATCGACCCATCAATTCCCAGCGGAGCTTTTGCGCAAATACGAATAAACACTAAACACAAACAACACAAAAAGAACAAAACACACACACGTACAAATTAGTCACACTGAATACAACAACAATACCATTATCAACGACCTTTTATTTTTTTCTTGTTCTTATTTTGCTTTCACTTTTTTTTTTTTTAATTTTATTTTAGTAGATTTCCTATTCCCTCGTATATCACACCATTATAGCGACAGAAATACATCATATTCACGAAGGAGTATTTTTCAGCGAAATGATCTCCTTTTATTAAACCTTGAACTCGGAAGCAAAAAAAAAAAAAAAAAA